CTGACAATTGGTTAAACTAAAAATGTAAGAAACTGTAGTTAGAATTATGAGAAAAAAAAATCTGTCATCATTCATGTTAAAATTGTGTGAGGCCCAACCCAACGAACATTCAATATATGGACATGCATATACACCAAAAAAATTGCATATTTTTCAGTTTAAACATGGATATCTACTTTAAAGATAGATAGTTATATGTGAGTGGATATCTACTTATAGATAGTTAAATGTGTGTATATATATAATGATTATATATATTATATATATATATATATATATATATATATATATATATACATATACATATTTGATAGATGGGCAAATATGCATTTATTTCTGTGTATATGCATGTCTGTATATACAAATATTTATTTGGTTGGTCATTGCACAATTTTAACAAACTGGCCGATAATCAAGACTTGTCAAACATATTTCAAATTCCATCTCAAACTGACTTATCATGTAATCCTTGTTATTTCGGTTAGAGATGGCCTGATCTTTTGTCCATGACTGTATAGTACACTAAATGAAATGTAATCTATTGAACATCATATCATATTGTCTCCAATCTCAGCATTTTCAAGGATAAGAAATATTTTTCTTGAATATTAAGGCAAAATAAAATGAAATCTATACCATCCATGGGTATTTATTCTTTCGTGTCTGCATATGCTGATAGTAGAATGTTTGTTTTCATTTATTAGTTTACTAATTTGCTTTAATAAAAAACAAAGTTGTGTAGGACTCCTAAGGCCAGCATTACATGAAAGCTATAAATTTGGGCAGTAAAGGTTAGAGTCAACTTCAGGATTCAAGTATATTATGCTTGCTCAATACAACAGACTCAGTTCCTCAAAGAAAACCACTTGAAAGGGTAAATAAAACAAAGCACTTAGACTAAAAGTTTACTCGTAATGACATGTTGGAAGAGAACTTCTCAGCACTTGGTAAGATCACAGATTTAGTGAGGAATCAATTTAAAGAACAATTAAATAATTTGATGTTGATCACAATAAAAGACTGACTTGATTTAGGAATGTTATAGGTAAAATTTAAAGAAGAAAGAAACTATTGCATAGTTGAAAATGAGATGAACAAGTATTAAAGACCTACTCATCATCAATGGCTCAAGGAAATTACTCGCTTCACTCAAGACTTAACATCATTCTTGACTTGTCTTATTCCTTTCCATTCCTTTTCATAACAGCACACCTTTGGTATAACACAATTGTGAGATTTTGGTGAAATATTCGAAGAAAAAGATGAAGCTACTTTTGTAATAATCATATCTTTAGGTGATCGTGCCTGTACTAGCTTTCATATTTCACAGTCAGAATTACATTTTACATAAATAATGAATGTCTTTGGATTCATTACATTACCAATTATCTGCAACATATTAATTTAATGTCTTGAAATTGAGAAATGGTATACAGGCAGGAATTCGTGATTTGACCCCTATGCACTATTCCCGCATTTCATTGAGAGCGACTGTTGACAAATTGCACACAGAATGTCCTACACTAATCATACTACTACTTAGCATCTGCCAACAATGGCTCATGATTATACTTTAACACTAGTGCATAAGGTAAGCAAATCAAATTAATATTCAAAAAGACCTATTTTACCAGTATATTTGATTATTATATTAAAGGTAAAGATTTTCATTTGCTCAATTTCCTGCACAATTTCATGTGAATACCCAACATGGATTAATCTTTGGGAAGCCCAGATGTTGTGCACTGTATTTTTACTTCTCTTGCAGAAACATTCTTGTCAATTCCTTTTTGTCAGCAACTAAATCTCACACTTAGCATTCACTGGAATTTGTAAGTTTCTGCCATCACTACTAGAGATACTATCCATTAAGTTAAAACTGTAAATTCCATATGCTTGGAATGGCATATCATTTTTCTGCAAAAAGCACTGCATCTTGGGAGGCCCGAAGACAGAACCCTGAAACTGCACTGGGACGAGCAAAAACTAATGAATCTCCTTAATGTATGGTGGTGAGTAGAACGATAGTCTCATACTTGGCACTTTGGGGGAGACAGCGTAAGACGCCACCAAATAATTCAGACTAACACTTTCTACCTCATCCAAATAAATGTCAACTTCCAAAACTAACTTCATCTTTCCACAATTCAAATTTCAGTTGCTAATTTGCAACTGTCTTTAAGTACTAATAAGAAAGTATACCTTTTAATAGCCATCAACAATAGCCTTTAACAATCCTTCATTCTCCATAAACCTGTCCAATTCAAGCTATTCTGCATATACCCTAGACCAATAATTTTATATAAGGGTAACAAATTGCCTTATATGAGTAGATCTTTCAGGAGAAACCAATACTATGGTGAAATAAGAAGCTACAATTACTACATTACTGATATGTCCAAACTGCACATACCTATCTACTGATGCCATACAAGAAAAAGTAACTGTGGGAAAACAACATAAATACATTTAATTTATTGAAATCTAAATAGATATATTAACCTTAAAAAAGATTTTTTTTTCCTATATAGCATATGACTGAAGCACATTGGGACACTAAGCTTATGATGGGGGGGCATTACCATTTGCAGGTTGTGGCTGTAAAGACTAAAGATAAAGGGTTTCAAAAAATCTACACATGAAGTTCAAAGAATCCTTATTTTAAGGTACACAGACACATTAAATATTCTATATTCCATACATAAATAACTATTTGACTGGAATGACTTAGGTTGGCAACCAGGTCGACATCCATTCATTGTCCAAAGTCGTTCACAGTGGAAGACCAGCAGCAGAGCAGTCTTACAGCCATTCACTTTCTTGACCTTTTGCCTTTGATGTTTTGTGTTAGTTCTGAATATTGTTTTGATGTATCATATGGATACACATATGCAGGTACAATGCCTGCACAAGCACAATTCATCAGGTATTGTTTCTAATGTCTTTCACAGGTACATAAGGCAAGGTAACAACAACAATATGAGCACCTTCCTCTGGTAGTGGTAAGAAAGTCCAAATCGCAGGTAATCTAAGCACCAACAAGATGCTGCACTCGTTTCCATGAAGTAATGAAGACTTGGCAAACACAGTCTGGAGATGTTTTCCTAATCTCTTGAACATATATAAATAAATACTGTTCACATGTATAGTTTCCACTGATATACATTCATAATGCAAATATATATAATATGTAAACATATATATGTATAAATTGTGTATGATAAATATATATGTAAATATATAAATATATATATATGAATATATATTTAACACGCACACACACAAAACACGCCACACACACACACACACACACACACACACACACACACACACACACACACACACACACACACACACACACACACACACACACACACCCACACACACACTCACACACACACTCACACACATACTCGCACTCGCGCACACACTCGCACACACACATCGCACACACTCACACACGCGCGCACACACTCACACTCACACACACTACACAGATAATATATAATTTATGTATCCACTCAGACTTTTCTTTGAAAAGGTTTTCTTCTCATTATGATTATAGCTGATGATTCAAGTGGGTTTGGGGAAATCAACATGTGTGATGAGATCATCCAGTCTGACTGATGCCAACTTCACTGGAAGGTGGGTTTCATGCTCCAAGGTTGTGTTAAGCTTGGATCATACGGTTGTCTCCAAATCCTCATGCACCATTGTCTGAAACTGCTCCTGCCTGCAAGAGAATGATTATCAAGTTAGAAGCCTCTTCGAGGAAGTGATTTATAGTCTTTGACATTAATAAGACACTATCTTATACTTGAAGCAGGAACAAAAGCAGCACATGAATGTACAATTGCAATGATGAATGCATGTGCATAATTCAAAAAAAAAAATTAAAGAATGCATATCATGACATAAGCAGTAAAGCCCATTTCTATAACTGAAAGCAATATCTTTTTCACACATTATAAAGTATATTCTAATATTGAACAGTTTCTAACTAAGAAAAAAGTCATGCATGGGAATAAATGAGTCTTCCAAATAAATGTAAGCTTGTTGTTTGTATCTTTACTGAAATCCATGCTTGGATAAAGGTTAAGAAGAAGGTGAACTCTGTCGTTTTCAAGTTCTGAGATGATAATCCTGATTTGAACATCTCTATGGGATTTAAATGGATGTAAAAAAACTCTAAATCTACTAAAATCTCTACTATGTAGGGTGATTTCAAGTGGTATGGGTGTAAGAAATACCAAAGTCTATAGGAAATCAAGAATCGGGTATATGTCTAAAATGCTTCAAGGGAAAAAGGGCAACTTTAGTGTTGTTCATACGTACAGAACAGAGCCAGAGCAGAATCCTTGGCATAGAGCGTGCAAGAAACAGCGAGGTGATGTGTAATCCACTCTGTTGACACACTACCTACACAATACACTCTATGTTTTGGACAGGCCTTTCAATCTAAGGCAAATTAATTAACTACAAATGTTAAAGATTTTTTGGCTGCAGAAGCTCTGATGAGTCTCAATGATTCCCATCCAAAACACTGTCTTACAAGAATAATAAAGTCTGCCATGACAAGTTAATTTTAATTATCAATATTACATATAGTAAATATGTCCATAAATATATAAAGGTAAATGTAAATATCTGCCTAGTTCAATACGTTATTACCTATGGATTCTGAATCATCTACCGTACTCTAAAATGACAACTGCGTAACTTCAAAAATGACGTTATCACTCTCTCAATCACCTGTCATGGCACAGTGATCCATCATTATGTAGCCTTTTATATCTAGGAGGCTACTTTGATAGGATAAAAATTGTAGTTTTTCATCATTGGCAGGTACAAGAAAGTCCGTTTACTAATGCCACAATGACTATAGAATTACAAACATATTAATATGTACTTTTTATAAACAATTTTAAAAATTGGGTGGATGTGCATATAAAACTTTTTACTTAATACTACAGTAAATACTGCTAAATTAAGTAGCTTACGTGTGAACTAAATTGGCAAAGAAGCAGTGCAACTTGTGATTCATCGACAATATACCTAAGATTTGTATCTACAATCTTCCATATACAACAACCTGGGACCTGATAAAACAGGTGCCACCCACCGTTACTATTTATCTTTTATTATTATCTTTTTTTTGTGTTGGTAGATTAGTCAACGTAATTGAGTTTATTATTGTTGGGTTGAGAGAATTTCTCTTGGCCTGAAAAACAATAAAACAATGGAATCCACAGGAAATATATGAAAAAAATATTAAGAATACATAATGATATATTTTTTCATGTGTCTAATAAATAAAGCATGTCTTAGGCTACTATCTACAATCTCTTTCAGAATAAAAAATTTTAAATACACAAATAATATTGAGAAGTATTCTTCCCTTGCGTCATCACCTATATATTTCCTATTGCATAACACCCAAAATCTATAATAATTATTACACATCTAACAAAATGGATAAAATTCAAGAATCTGAAAGAGCCTTGTCATATGAAGGCTCATCACCCTGGTATTTGTCAAGAGTATTATTTAATTCATAATCTTATGTTAGTTGCATTTATCAAAAGGCTAAGTTGGCATTCCAAGAGTGCGCAGGCAGGGTTATGAAACAAGCATGCACATCTGTTTCCATGGGTTGTTAACTGAACCTGCAATAGGGAAGTACCTAAATGATCCAAAAATTTTTTTTGCTTTCTTGTCATAATTTTTTTTTTTCCATATTCTGAGGTCTGACTATGGTTTCCATAAGTAACAGAAGCTTAAGGGAAGGGAGGGGGCACTTATGGAAACAACACTTAATGTTTGCCTACAAACAGTGTCATAAACTTAGAAAGGCCTCTTGTCCTTAACAAAATGTATCCATAACTCGTGGGGCTGAGGTTACCCTCTTCACGAGGACGGTGCACACAACTCTGTGAGCAGCATGAGCTTTCTTTTATACAACTAAATGGCATCCCAGCCTTGATAAAAAAGCTCACCATATATTTCTGAGGTCAAAAAGAAATACCTCACGCATTACAACAAAACAACTGTGTACTATATGAGCCTCTCTACTCGAAGTTTTTAGCGAGTGCGTGGTGACGTGCACCCCTGAGTGAGTGGGAATAGGATGCGTGACATGGAAGGGATGACCGATCCTCTTCCTCAGGCATGGATGCTCCGAGACCCATGAGCTGGCACTTACTCTCCAGATATGCAGCCAGTTCTTGGTCATCAGCTCGCTGGCCAGAGCACGAGGTGTGTTGCCCTGGAGGTCCCGGATAGTTAGGGAAGCCCCAGCAGCAACGAGCATGCAACATACTGTCCGTCTCCTGTTGGAGGCTGCCTGGTGCAGTGCTGTCTGGCCTCTGAAATGTTCACCCTCGGTTTACTTAACTATTTACTAATAACTTTAATAAGATGCAATCATGCATACGTCCTACAAAAAATGTCTTGGTAAGTTATAAATATCTGCATGCTTCATCAAAATCATCTCCATTTAGGCCCAACAGTCAATGACTTAGAATCAAACCTAAATCTATTTATAACTTGAATAAAATTGTGATAAACAAACATACTTTTCTGTGTCCACCATATCAAGGATAGAAGGCGGGGCTGATGCAATCAAATAGCGCACAATGTCTTTGTGTCCATGACGAGCGCCAAAGTGAAGTGCTGTCTGGCCATGTGCATCAATTGATAGCAGTGAGAAACCTTGCGAATGAAGATCCTTCAACTGAAATACAAAGAAGAAGTTTAGCAACTATAAATTAATCTGATATACATATTTCAGCACCAGCTCTTTATCGGGCATCCTTATTTAGCATTGATGTGCTGTTATACAAATCATAAAGCATTCTAAGTATATGATTGTCTTTGGCAAACAGGTTGGCAATCACAAGAATCATTACAATATAACTGACTGGTGATGTAAAAGCTGAAATAAATATCATCTCATCAAATCAGTGATATTAATTATGGATCATCTATTAAAAGACTGAACTACACACCATCTTCAGGTCTCCTTGCTTGGCTGCCTTTATGATTCCATCAGAGTTCTTCTCAAGCAGGTGGCTGAGGAAGAAGGATGAGTGGGTTAGGATTATGTACCTTATGTGAAAGGTTACTGGTATTTGCACCAAATAAAAATTGTAATTTGATTTACAGTCTCATGATTCAAGACCTGGCAAATTTGAAAAAAGCACTATGATCTGCACTTGAAAATATTATCTATCCACAGGAAATATTTCTTGTAGAGTAGTGTGATACCAGAAAAAGCACTAGGAAGAGTCTTTTGGGTGCGGTGAGTAAGCTAATGAATTAGTGGGAATTAGAATCAGCTAAAAATAATGACATGGCATATGAACACCTTATTAGACTCACTAGCTTCAAATTAGTAACAAATGAATTTATGAGATTGATTCTTATCTGAAAATTGTGTCAGATAAGATTCACTGGTGCATACACAAGTACACACAGGCCCATAGGCAAGCAAGTGCAAACACACACACAACACAGACAACACACGCACACACACGCGCGCACACGCACACACACATTCTTGTAAAGACACAGATATATAACTAACCTCACACATATGCATGCATGAATAAACATAGACAGGTAGAGAAACAAACAAAGAGCCAGACATGCCAATGTGAATGTACGCACACACACACACTCATCCTTATGTGCACACGCATATGCACAAGCAGGCACGCGTGCGCACACAAACACAAACACACACACACTTATATTCAATATAACCCGACATATAATTTATTCTTATGTACACAGAAACATATACGTATCCATTTTTACACATGCATAAATTGAAACATATTAAGCATTAGCAAAACAGACAGCTGTATGCACACATGCACACAATGGCAAATAAAATCACAATGTACATATATAGTCCAAATATTATATATATTTAAAGGTCTGAAATTATTCATAGGGATGATATGTTACTCAATAAATCCAACCATTTTAGTTTTAAGTAATGTTATATACTCTGGTTAGTTTATGCATGTTTGCAAAAGGGAGAATCTATTGCTATATCTCAAGAGACACATGAGTAAAGGCAAGGTTCTTGACAGCCAGCCAGACAGAAACACACAAATGCACACACAAACACACACACACACTCTGTACATACACTTGTATATACAATTCAACCCTAAAACAAATGCTGAGAAGTAAATGCATACACACTATATAAACCTGTAATACCCAGCATGCACTCATATACTCGCATAAAAATCCTAAAGTGTCACGTGCACGCGAAATAGGCAAATGTGTATGAACATGTATATATTTACACTTGCATACAGACATACTATATAACGTGACCAGACCCAGCATTAATGAATTTTTCTAGCCGATTAAGAACTGCTGTAAAATGAAGATGAAGGTGAAAAATGGATGTACAAATTACTCCACTACTAGATATGTACACACAAGACAAAAACAAAAACTTAGAGATGAAGAAATGAGCAAAAAATATGTGTACTAACTACAAACACATATATTCAAAGTAGTGTTAGTTGAAATGTCAAAGAAAAAAGGCCTGAAAAAAGTATCTGGGGAAGAAAAACAAAGAAAAAATGAGAAGAAGAAGAAGTACAAGAACAAAGCAAAATGTGAAGGAACTAGAAGTATAAAGATGATTGCAACAATGAGGACAAAGAAAGAAAAGGTGGAGAATAAGAATAAGAAGGGGAAAATGACGAAGAATAAGAATAAGAAAAAGAAAGAAGACGAAGAACAGGACGAGCACTAGAAGAATCCCCACGAAATAAGACACTACCGAGGGAATATACCTGGGAGGGAAGTATTCTGGTCCAAAGACACGCTCATGCAGGCTGTTTGATCAACATGTTTCATTCACGTCAGATCAAGTCCACAAGATGCCAAAAAGGGAAAGGAAAGATGTCAACAAATGAACTTCTAGAAGTCTAAAAACTCTAAGGACACCTATGATGTCACTTATTGAGATTATTTCATATAAAACATGTCATATATTAGCGAGAATATTTACATATATAGACACACACGCATATATATAGACTATATATATGGAAATAAAGAATCCACCACTTCAAATGACAGTCAAAGGGTTAGATTTATTGAGATTTTTTTTTAAATATACTTTTTTCATTTTCAAAATGCTGTAGAAGCTTTGAGCAACAGCATACAATGCTTGGATAAAAGCTGGGAAGTATTAATGTTAACTTCTGCATGCCCACTTAGTAATATAACAGGTACCTGCTTCCATGTTGTCTTTCCATCTCCGACTATTGCTCTGACAATAAATAATCAAACACATGCAAGAAGCTAAAATATCAATAGATGTGCACACGAGGAAATTGCAGTCACTTGTGTACCGTTTTGTGGATCAAACAGGATACCGTCATATTTTTCAGTTAAAGGGAGTGAAGGTTGGGATCTCTTGTGAGAAGGAAATTGTTAATGCAAAGGGTGACATACACGGGGCATGTGCCGTATAATAGAATGATTATAAGAAAGTATAAAAAAGAAGCAAAATAATAAAACACAAAATAATGTTATCAACATATTACCCGAAAAATATGCACTGAAAAAATCCTTCCTATGAGCATTTTGCTTTTAATGGTAAACTGGGTGACCAGCGTCCACCATGAGGAACACCCGTAACAGGCCTACGGCAGATGGTAGCTGCGAGGGTTCTTTATCAGCAGTTTAGTGTATGGTAACACCTTCGTCAGCACCAATGGAACCAACACCAAGAGCAGCAACAGCAGCAGTCATATCAGCCACAGCAGGAGACTCGCCAGACCTCGTGCCCCCAAGCAGCTAATCTTTCTACATAATACCGGCCACGTGGAGGGAGCTGACGGCTCGTCGCATTCACAAACTACACTAGTCATACATTGTGAAAGCTAAAGTAGTAAGTTTAATTTTCTATTGTTTTCTGCAAATATCTCTACTTGACTGAGTTAAAATAATAATAAAAAGGAACACTGACAGCTTCAGGTCATAAGATTAGTAAGAAAGATCACAACTTTGTACAGAAGTAGAAAACGAGGAGAAATAAGTCAACAGAGTGAACGCTACAGCCCCGCAACCCCCTTGTGTTATCTCCCCTCTGCCTTCGCTCGGCCTGATCTGAGGTACAAAGTGATCCTTGCAGTGAGTGTGACCGTCTGGTGCCTCCACGCGCGCCGGCCGGGTGAGCGGGTTTACCTGATATTATCCCGGGTGTCCGTGGACCCCTGGGCCTCATCCTCCTCGTTGTCGAGGGAGTCGTGGCTGATGGTGAAGGTGGAGGCGGGGGGGTTTCGCTGGTCGAGGTCAGTGCCGCCCACGCCAGAGTCACTGTCGCTTACCATGGCCATCCTCTCGCTATGGTCTAGGTCGTTGTCCACGCTGTGAGACCCAGCCGTTACCAGGAATACCATAGTTACCAGGGTACCAGGATTACCAGGGTACCATTACTAGGGCCTTACATTTACTTGGGCACCAAAGTTACTTTGGAATCACGATTACAGGAAAACTGCCAATAATCTGATGTAATATTTTGGAAATCGGTAATTGAGCTATCATCTTGGAACACTAAAAATAACCAGGAAATAACGGTCTTTGGTGTCAAAGTACCATTAGTTACAAGGAATACCAAAGTATACATAGTACCTATGAAAGTTTAAGGTGTTCATGGTAACCAGGAGTAACCAAGGCCATTTGGATGTGCTCTGTGAGGTTTTATGTTGGAGAAAATCATATCCTAAAGAGGAACGCCAACAGGAACATGAGGAAACGGCTCAAGTTACTAGCAAAAGTGAATGACCACATCTGGCGGGAGAGCCTGAAACCGTGCGCAAGTCAAAAGCATCGGGGTGGAATCCAGATGACAAGGAGAGCAGACTAAGCACAACTTTCTTGAAATCCTTTATGAAGATCTGGGATTCTAAAGGGACTCTAGGATATCTGTTATGACCAAGTTATCTGAAGCTACAGTTACCATGGACACCCGAGTGTATATGTGAAGGACTGTCTGCCTGGTGTTCAGGCTTCTGAAAGATACCATGGGCATATGGCTGTCTAGTTACCAGTCATAACAGCAATGATTTAGTTACTGTGAACATCAAAACACACACAGCTGCTTGGAATACCATGGTATTCACGCTAGAAGAAAGGTGTATATATACACAGTATACCTTGAATGCTCTACGCCATCCATAGCACGAAAATCAGCGAATTGAGTTTAAAGGACTGCAGTTGCCAAGAATACATAAGTATTCGCTTATATAATATTGGCCTGGATGTCCATAATCACCATGAATAAAGAACCTTTTCCGGTGTATTGAATAAAGGTGTTTTTGATCAAGTGAAAGTTATATTGTCCGTGGTTTGTTGAAGAAATTTTGATGAGTGAAAACGGATTTAGAGGAATCCTCCTGATGAGCTAGTAGATGTATCTTTTTGATTTACAATTTTTATAAATTTTTGATAGCAAAACTCCCATCATGGTGTTCTTTATCCTTATGAACTCTACTGAATACCGTCCTGCTATGCTTAACTAAATGTGAAATAACAAAAAAAGAAGATAAAAAGTACAGACAGATTTCATTTATCAATTATCTCTAAAATCTATCACAGAGCGCTTGTGGAGTTCCCATATAATAACTATGCACTACTTTTCCCAAACACGAATTATAAAGTAACCAAAAATTGTAAAAAAAATAATAATCATAAATAAACAAAAATGAAAGAATGTTCACACCCGATATATTACAGTTCTCATGGGGGTGAAATAATGAATTAATCACAAAAAATAAAGCAGATAGTGGACAGCAGTACACAGCTGTAGCCTTGGTAAAGCTTATGCTGCATTTAGCTCATGTGTGTGTGTGTGTGTGTGTGTGTGTGTGTGTGTGTGTGTGTGTGTGTGTGTGGTGTGTGTGTGTGTGTGTGTGTGTGTGTGTGTGTGTGTGTGTGCGTGTATTTGTGTGCGTGTTTCGTGTGCGTGTGTTTTGTGTGCGTGTTCGTGTTTTGTGTATGTGTGGGTGTTTTGCGTGTGTTTTGTGTGAGTGTGTGCGTGTGTTTTCTGTGAGTGTGGGTGTGCGTATTTGCGTGTTTTGTCTATGTGTGCGAGCTTGCGTGTGGTTTGTGTATGTATGTGTTTGTGTGCGTGCTTGTGTGTGTTTTGTGTGAGTAGCATGTGCGTGTCTGCGTGTGTTTTGTGGCGGGTATGTGTGTGCGTGTTGCGTGTGGTTTGTGTATGTGTGTGCGTGTGCGTTTGTGTAGTAGTGTGTATGTTTGCGTGTGTTCTGTGTTGTATGTGTGCGTGTTTTGTGTGAGTGTGTGTGCGTGTGCTTTGTGTAAGTGTGTGCGTTGTGTTGTGTGAGTATGTGTGTGCGTGTTAGCATGAATATGTGTGTGTGTGTGTTACGTGGTGCTTTGTGTATGTGTGTGCGTTGTGTATGTGTGTGCGTGTGCGTTGTGTATGTGTGTGCGTGTGCGTTGTGTATGTGTGTACAACATGTTTGCGTGTGTTCAGTGTTAGTATGTGTGTGCGTGTTTTGTGTGAGTACGTGTGTGCGTGTTTGCGTGTGCGACTCTGTGTGTGCTTGTGTGAGTATGTGTGTGCGTGCTAGCATGAATATGTGTGTGTGTTTATGTGTGCTTTGTGTATGTGTGTGCGTATTTGCGTGTGTTTTGTGTGAGTATGTGTGTGCGTGTTTTGTTCGAGCGTGTACGTGCGTATTTGCGTGTGTTTTGTGTGTGTCATTTGTGTTTCGTGCATGTGTGTGCGTGCTTGAGTGCGTTTCGTGTATGTATGTGCGTGTTTACGTGTTTTGTGCGAGCGTGTGCGTGCGTGTTTCGTGGGCGTGTCAAAGGCGCTTGGCGACCGGGGCTGATCACCACAGGTACAGGGTGTCAAAAAGATACGAGTTGTCGTGGGTTCACCAAACAGGTCTTAAGTGATTGATCTAATCGAAGTTCTGCGGAAGGAAGGTCTCGGATAAAAAATCTCTAGACAAGATAAGATTACCACAAATATAAAAGGAAATCTGGAGAGTAAATGCATCAAAACACAACTGGGGGGTATGGAGTTATCGTTAAAAAAAACAATACTGCAATTACAGATGTACATTCTTCTAAGCCTTGCAGGAGTAAAATCACATTCACTAGAGTACCGTGAAAAAATATATATGTTCTTGGAAATAGAGCATGCAAACTAGTCGATCTAGCAAGCTAAGACTCACCTTGGTTCAACTAAACCGACACAGCGCGGTGGCAAGCAAACCGAGAGGACGAGTTCGTCACCAAGAGGGTTTGGGCGGAACGGCGCCAGTGTGAAAAGGTGGCACTCCCGCGGCCAAGTGCCCCGAGTGCGTCAGGCGGTGTGTCACCTCTTTTTTGGTGAGGGGGGGGGGGGCTTTGATTAGTACGTCTGACACTTACTTTTTGGTGTGCGTGCGGGATAATTCTGTGGGCTCTGATTGGCATTTCGACATGTATCGGGTGTGGACGCCAAGTGTGTGGTGCACGTATGCCTCCAAGCGCGGACACGCGCGCGTTGGACGCACAGGCGCAACGGAGAGTCCAGGAAAGGTCTGGTCATGCTTGTGAGTTTGAGTGTGGAACGTGTATACATACAAAAAAGGACATGTAAGGTTCTACAGGAGATGTGAGTTCTGGTATGTACATGGCCCTCAGCCTGACCCCGGCCGGCGTCACACGGGCCAGGGCCAGGCTCCGGGAGATGCCACAGTCCACTATGGCCGACGTTCCGGGTGTTGCTGGCTGCCTCCCTACGTCCCTCACGCTCAGCCCGGCTGCTCTCTCGCCCTCTCCTCCTCCTCCTCAGCTCCCTCACTCTCACTCAAACCCTCCAAAGCCCTCCCTTCGCTTCCTACCCCCCGCCCTGCAACATCTTCCCAACCCCTCCCCCTGCCCCGCCCACGCCTCCCAGCCGGGCCAGATCGCTCACCTTACGTCCCCTCTGACGCCGCCCACGCAGGTGGGGTCGGTGAGCTCGGGGTCCAACACGTACAGGTCCTCCGTGCAGATGTCGGTGACGTAGTGCAGGTGCTCCTGGGCACGGTCGATGCGGAAGAACCTCTCCGCCGTGCACGCTGGAACGGAAGGCCAAGCTCAGTTCAAGCCCAGTTCTCGGGGCATTGGCACGGGGCGCTGCGGCGAGCCTTTCCAGTGCCAAGGCCCAAAGAGGCAATGGTAAACATACTCTGTGTTTTAAGGACTTACCTCTGCGACAGAGAAAGGGATACGAGGAATTATGCATTATCGGCAACGAGGAGTTTCCTCAGGTTTGTCTTTTTGACTAAATGTATTATACCAAATACAGCGTGTAAAATTTACACACGCACACACATACGTACACACAAGCACGCACGCTATATATATGTATATATATACATATATATATGTATATATATACATATATATACGCATGTATGTGTGTTTGTTTTTACATAAAATAAATAAACTTCCTACGATGGCGTCGTAACCCGAATTTTGATGCAAGTCGGAACACGCCTAGCGTCGTATCCACGAAACGTCGTAAGTCGCGACCGTCGTAAACCGAGGACCCCCTGTAATCGCTTTAGTTTCCCTCCCATTTTGCCGATGTAACTATCACTTTTATCTTTTCAATCAACCATAATTGCAAAAAATATCTAGATTAATTAATATGTAAACAAAAAACGCAAAAAAAGCAAATAATGGCGACGCGAATGAATAAAAAAAGGAAAATGCAAATAAAGAGGCTGGAAGTGACAAGGAACATAGAGAATACATAGAAGTGAAGAAACGGAGGAGAATGTAGAAGTAAACGAAGAAGAATGAGAGAGAGAGAGAGAGAGAGAGAGAGAGAGAGAGAGAGAGAGAGAGAGAGAGAGAGAGAGAGAGAGAGAGAGAGAGAGAGAGAAGAGAGAGAGAGAGAGAGAGAGAGCGAGCGAGCGAGCGAGCAGACCTGATATCAAAAGAGAAACGAAAAAGAAAGAGAAGAAGAGAAAGAGAAGAAATGAAAGCGAAAGAACAGAAAATGCCGAGGGCCGCTCCTTCAGGGCAGGAGACGCCCTCGCTCTGGCATCCTTCCAGAAAATGCCCTTCAAGGAGGAGCTGTTTGGTGTAGGAGGCGCAGAGGGGGGAGGGGGGTACTGGAAGGGGTGGGGTGGGGTTAAAGGAGGGGAGGGGGGTACTGGAAGGGGTGTGGGTGGGTGAAGGAGGGGGGGGGTACTGGAAGGGGTGTGGGTGGGGGGTCAAAGGAAGGTGCAAAGGAGGTGGAGGGGGGAGCCAGGAAGGGGGCAACAGGAGGGGGAGGCGCTGAAGATGAAGCAGCAGAGAGAGAGAGTGGGGAGACACAGAAGGGGGGGTAGGAGGGAAAGGCAGGGGGGGTAGGAGAGGAGAGGCAGGGGGGGAAGAAAGACGGAAGAGAGAAAGGCAGTGGGGGGGGGGGAGAAGAAGAGGAAGAGAGGAGAGAAGAAGAGGATATAGAGAGGGGACATAAGAGGGAAAGGAGGAAAAAAAGAAGATTGAAAAGGAAAAAAAGAGAGGCAAAGAGAGTGGGAAAGGAAGTGATAAGAACCGGAGAGAGAAAAGGAAAGAAAAACCCAAAACATCTAAGGGTGGGGGGGGGGGGTGAAGCCTCTTGCAGAAAGACGAAGCCGTCACCTCCGGCCACGCTGTTGGAGTTCTTTGTAGGCCTATGCAAGGGCTGTTCTCGTCTTCACCCGCGGGCGATGCATCAGTGCTTGCAATCACACACACACACACACACACACATACACACACACACACACACATAAACATACATACTCTCTCTCTCTCTCACATAAGCGCGCACACACACATACATTCTCTCTCTCTCTCTCTCGCTCACGCACATACACACATACATACACACACTCTCACACATACACAACACACATATACACAGACACTCTCTCTCTTTCTCTCTCACACACACAATCTATTAATGTAAAATGATATTTATTTATAAGATTTAAAGAAAAAAATATTCTACCTGGATGTCCTAAAGTCTTTCTTTCAAATTTATCTTTCCCTCCAAAAAAACAAAGAATATCTGTCGGTTTTATTTTCATATTTCTTATTTTTTCTCACCTACAGGCAAATGCATCACAGACGTTCCATACACACACACACACACACAACACACACACAACACACACACACACACACACACACACACACACACATTCACATATATGTAATGTACTTCCTCACTCGCTCGCTCTCTCTCCTTTCTTCCCTCGCTTCTGTCTGTCTGTCTGTCTCTCTCTCTCTCTCCTCCCCTCTCTCTCTCTCTCTCTTCCTTCTCTCTCTCTCTCTCTCTCTCTCTCTCTCTCTCTCTCTCTCTCTTCTCCACCACAAACAAGCCTTCATCCCATCCCACTGAAGAGAGAGAGAGAGAGAGATCGGTGTCGCTTCAGCGTTTGCCAACTCCGCAAAAAAAAGACAAGAAAAGAAAAAATACAATCCTTCAAGGAGACATGCTGACGGCCGACTTTCGAGCAGGTTCAGCGCTCGTGTCTGGCTGTGTTGCGGAGGGGAAGGGGGGGGGTGAGAGGGGAAGGGGGGATGAGTGGGGAAGGGGGGGATGAGAGGGGAAGGGAGGGGAGAGGGTAGGGGAAGGGAGGGGAGAGGGTAGAGGGTAGAGGAAGGGAGGGGAGAGGGTAAGGGAAGGGAGGGGAAGGGAGGGGAAGGGGGGGAGATGAGAGGGGAGAGTGGGGAGAGGTAGGGGATGGGGGATAGGGGAAGGGAGGAGAGGGGAGAGGAAAGGGATGGGAGGGAGAGGGTAGGG